TGATGCGGCAGTCACAGCTCTGTGACCTGCAAGTAAAGCTTTCTGTTCCATGTGCGTAAAAGACCATGCTCCTTGTGGCAGGAAAGAACTATTTGAATCCAGCTGAACACAACTGAAGTGTCTTCTTCTTTAAATATGCTCATGAATTACTGAGTAACTCATGAGCTGAGTGTTCAATAATTCCACCAAATCCTTCTAAGTATAACATCCTCAGCAGAACTCTTTGGTCTATAGACATGTTACTGTTGCAATACAACTAGTTCTCAAATGCCCCATATTCTCCTTACTGATATACGTGCGTATCATGTGACTATGTGTAGATCATAGGAATATATTATGGATTAAGACTCAAAATTTGGAAGTCATGGACCAGGCTAAAATTCAATAAAATTACATTTGGATGTGAGGAGGAAGGAGCAACATGTGGCTTGAATTTTCCCTAAAACACACAGGGGATCGTTAAAGAAGGAAAAGTACTTGGGACACAGTATGTCTGGAATTTTGCCAAACTCATACCATTTAAACAATAGTTTGAGAGGGAATCCAAAACCCAAGAAGATCTCTTCCATCTCAGCCCCCCCCCCCAAGGGTATGAGGTAGCAGTTGAGCTTGGAAACATAATTTTTATGAAAATACTTCAATGAGCAACATGGTAATGTCAGACTTGAGTAAACTGCTTTGCCCCCAGAATTCAGTGAGTTCCCACTTGCACTTAGATCCCTACTCTACTATTAAACCTGTCACAACGAGCTGATCCCCAATTTGTCCAGCCATTTCTTTACTTTCCTATTCCACCCCCATGTTCCTGCAGAATTACAGAATTACTGGTTAGCAGTAATGCTATCCTGAGCAAGCCTCAGACGAGGCTTTTATTGTTAGATACACTGGAGAAGGAGGATGCTTATTCAGCGGAGGATAGACTCTTCTACAACTTACCAGAACCCCTTCTCCCCCTCTTCCCCCTCCCCCTCTTTCTCTAATTTTGTCAGGTGAATGGATTTTAAGGGCAATCGGTGATTTTGATGACCCATGCTCTTCTCCTAAGGCATTCTATTTCCACACTCTTGTGGAATCCCTGTGTGAGTGCCAAGTTGGCAAATGTCACCTGTGAGTCCCAGGAGGAGGTGTGTTGATTGGCTAACATGCCCCGCCTTCCCTGTGCAAAGATGCATGGAATTCAGCCTTGCCTCTTCCAGCTAACTGGCTCTGATCCCTGGGAATGCAACTAGTCCTCCTCCCTGGCTGGGTTAATGCCAGTCTACTTAAGGAGATCATTGGCCACAAGCCAGCCTGGCTGACAGGCTTCCTAATGCCAGATGCCAACAGTCCAGCCTTGTGGGAGGGCGGGTTCTTCTTGCCACCCGGGTAGCAAACATGGCTTCGCTCTCCCTTAGCCTGTAGAGCTCATTTTCGGGGACATAAAATCAAGCAGATCATCCCAAGTTGTTTTCTTTCTGCCTTTAAGGACATCTACCCTAAAACCTCACTGCGTTCTCCTGACAGCTCTCATCTTTCTGGAGGCTTCTGTTTTTTCAGCTCCGTGGGCTGTGGGCTTTGCTAATATTCTGGCAACTAGGAACACCCATGCGGGGTCGTGCTACTAGTGATCTGCCCCGCAAGAGTGGGCCAGGCCGTAGGTTTGTAATGGCTTCTCTTTCTCGCTCATGTCCCAAGCTAACTTTTCTTTCATTCCAGCCAGTAACAAGAGAACAACTAACTAATTACCTGTGCGGCCAGGTGGGGAAATAGACCTAGGTGAGAGTCACCGAAGTGCAGCCCTTGACTTGCTACCGTTTCTCGAGCTTGGCTGGGTGTCCGTAGCCTCGGTTCTCTCCAGCACCATTCGTGCATTAACCCGCTGATACCGCGTTGGAACAAGCACGGGGTGCACCTCTCCCGGTGCTGAACGGGCATGTTTGCACACAGAAGAATCAACATGTGATGTCAGTGAGCAGCAGGGGAATCTGGGCTTGGGATTGGGGCGCTGGGCTTCTTCTTCTTGGCCAGGCAGGCAGTGACAGAGGCTGCCTCACAATAGAGCTCTGGTTCAACGCCAGCCCTCCATCTCAGTTAAGACTAGTGTTTAGGGCACCAGAGGGCTTTGATTGGAGGCCCTGGGACCCCGACTTTGGCCTCAAGGCCCATCTGCCTTTATCCACAGGAACCCCACTCTTTTTTTGTTTCTACAGGTTTTTTTTATTGGGGTGGGGGCACAGGATCCTCTTCCGAAAGGAAAGTTGAAAAGAATCGTGTCGAATCTCTCTCTGCCTTGCTGTCTTTTTCTCCTTATTGCAAAAAGCTGGACCAAACAGCCCTGTTTGCCCCGCACGGAGGCAGAGAGAGACCCCAGCAGGGGTAAGGTCCTGGGGGTCCCCCTCCTGGTTGGATCCAGTCCTCCAGGCTGTGCACCCACACATTGAGCCACCTCTCTTTTGGACGTAGGACCCCAGGCACCCAAAGCACACTCTCAGGGAGGCGAGGAAGAAAGGGGATGCTCAGGAAGAAACTCGTGGGAAGCCTGCGCTGGTGGCTCAGCCTAGAATCCTAGCTACCCAGGAAGCTGAGATCTAAGTATCCAGGCTCAGCCATGAGTCCATGAGACTCTTATCTCCAATGGACCACCCCAAAAGCCGGAAGTGGAACTGTGCCTCAAAGTGGTAGAGTGCTAGCCTTGAGTGGAAAAGCTCAGGGACAGAACCAGGCTGTGAGTTCAAGCCCCACAACAGAAAGAAGGAAGGAAGGAAGGAAGGAAGGAAGGAAGGAGAGGGAGGGAGAGAAGAAGGAAGGAAGAAGGAAAGGAGGGAGGAAGGAGAGGGAGGGAGAGAAGGAAGGAAGGAAGAAGGAAGGGAGAGGGAGTGAGGGAGGGAAAGAAGGGAAGGAAAGAGGGAGGGAGAGGGAGGGAGGAAGGAAGGAGGAAGGGAGGGAGGGAGGGAAAGAAGGGAAGGAAAGAGGGAGAGAGGAAGGAGGGAGGGAGGGAGGAAAGAAAGAAAGAAAAAGAAAGAAAAGGAAGGAAGGAGGGCGAGGGAGGGAGAGAAGGAAGAAGGAAGGGAGGGAGGGAGGAGAGGGAGGGACAGAAGAAGGAAGGAAGAAGGAAGGGAGGGGGAGGGAGGGAGGAAAAGAAGGGAAGGAAAGAGGGAGAGAGGGAGGGAGGAAGGAAGGACGGAGGGAGGGAGGGAGGAAAGAAAGAAAGGAAAAGAAAAGGAAGGAAGGAGAGGGAGGGAGAGAAGAAGGAAGGAAGAAAGGAAGGGAGGGAGGGAGAAAGGGAGGGAAGGACGAAGAAAAGAAGGAAGGAAGGAAGGAAGGAAGGAAAGAAGGAACTCCTGGGATCTTCAGACCCTCACACCAAGTGTCTCGCTACACCTAAACTAGGGTCCTTGGCTAGGTTTTCATGTCCCGACCTACTGGAAGGCGGAAAGAAAAGCCAGACTCCAAATTCTGCCCAAATCTATGACCCGTGTCCGTGCCCCCCCTTCCTTCTCTTCTCTCTTTCAACAGCGTCAGACTCGTGGCCGGGGCAGCCGTGCGGGCAGCTTGAGTGAGGAGGGGGAGACCCCGGCCCCGCAGCGCGCAGCGAGGCTCCTCGGGGCTGCGGGCGCCGCGGGGGCGGCAGCGGGGCTGCGCACACCCCTGCGCTCGCGGCGCGCGCCGGTCCCGGGCCGCGGGCCTCACCCGAGCTCCCTTCCCAATAGCCTCGCGCTGGGGGCGTTCGTTGGAGTTGGCTGGGCAGAGGGGACGCTAGTTCTCAGCGGGGACCACGCGCAGCACCCCATCTTTCCGGACCCCGCGAGCGGGTGCGCTGGGGGCTGGACGCGCCTCCCGCCCGGTCGCTGGGCGGCCACGGCTGGCAGCCGCGCGGGTCTCGGGCAGCGCCCGCCCCGTCCCGCCCGCCCCGCGCCCGCCCCCTCCCGTCCCGCGACGCGGCCGCGCTGTCCGCCGCCCGTGACCGAGACCTTCCCAAAGCGGAGCTCCGCTGCCCCGCGGCGCGGCCCGCGGGCCTCGGGAAAGGGGCGCCGGGGAGGGGTGGAAGGAGTGCGGGCGGATGGAGCGGGTGGCGCGGGTGGCTCCGGCTCTAGCGTCGGTGGCTGGGTGGGAAGCGCGGGGAGGAAGGAGCCGGGGAAACCCGGGCGATCGCTGGGCGCACAGGGCGGGGAGGGGGGGGCGACCTCCTCGGACGTTCCGAAGTTCCGGGGCGCGGAGCCCCAAGACCCCGGGTCCCACCCGTGGGGAGACAAACAGCCGCACACAGGCACCGGGCTTCAGACAGACGCTTTAATGAAGACCTCGCGGGCAGAGGGGAGGGAGGGGCGGCCGGGGCGCGCGCGTGCGCGGGAGCCGTGGGGTGAAACCGCAGGGGCCCAGCCCCCCGCAGGGCAGGGCGACCCGCCCCTCCCGGCCTGTGTCCAAAGCTCGTTGCCAGTAAAGTGCTCTTCTCTGGGGGGTCTCAGCCCCCGGCGTGAGCGCCGCGGCGGAGGCCGGTGGCGGCCGCGTTGGGCCCCGGCGGACACGCCCGTGGGTGAGCGCCGGCCGCGCCGGTCCTGCGGCGGCCCGGCTCGGACCCCGGGTCCGCTTCCCAGCATCTTCCGTGGGGACCCCCCCCCCGACTCGGGTTCCGCCCCCGGCCCGTACGGCGGACCCGGGACGCGAACCGCGATCGCTCGGCCGCGTCGGGCGGTGTGGTCCTGAGTCCGAGTTCACCGGAAGCGCGGGGCGGGGCGGGCGGGGGCAGAGGGGAGAAGCTGGGGGCGCCGAGGTGGGTGGGGTCACCCTGGGGTTTCCCGGGGGGCGCTCGGCGGCGTTGTAGCGGGGTTCGCCGCCCCCCCTCCGTTGCCGTCCGGCCGTTCCGCTCCCCTTCCTCCCCGTAGCGGATGGACGCCGCCCGCGTTCCCTCCGCGCGCGCCGGGCTGCGAAGCCGTCCCGCGGGGCGCCCGTGCGCTCCGACCGCGGTGGACGCCCCTCCCCGCCCGGCCCTCAGTTTACCCCCGCGCCCGGCCCCGGGGCCGCTACGAGGGCAGCAGCGCGGGGTGCAGCGGGCCGCGCTTGCTCTCGGCGGCGCTGGCGGCGGCGGGCTCGGGCGGGGCGGCGGCGGGCGGCGCGGCGGGGCGCAGCGCGGGCGGCTGCGGGGCGGCGGCGGCGGCGCGCGCGGGCGGCGGCGCGGGCGTGGGCTTGATGGGCACGGGCACGGCGGGCAGGCTCGGGCCGGCCGGGGGGCCCAGGGCCTTGACGGGCACCCCGAACGCGCCGTACTCCGGCCCGACGGGGACCCCGGCGGCGGCGGCAGCGGCGGCGGCGGCGGCGGCGGCCACCGAGTCCACGACCCCCACGTGCGGCCACACGGAGCCCACCACGTTGCCCAGCTGGCCGGGCACCGGGTAGCCCAGGTGGTGCATGACGGAGGCCAGCGGCAGCCCCCCCGCCTGCAGCACCCCCTTGTAGTCCCGGCCGATGAGGTTCTCGATGGCGAACGGGTGTTTGAAGCCCGTGGCGGCGGCGGCGGCGCCCAGCCCGTAGGGGGGAAACTGAGGCAGGCGCCCCACGCCGCCCACCGCCGCGGCCGCGGCCGCCGCCGCCGCCGCCGCCGCCACGGCCGCCGCCTCGTGCATCTTCCCGGGCTGCGCGGGCTGGGCCGGCGGCGGCGGCGGCGCCTGCGACGGGAGAGGCGGCGGCGGCGGCGGCGGCGGCGGCTGCGGGGCGGGGGGCGGCGGCTGGTGGAAGTAGTGCACCACGGGCGGCGGCGGCGGCGGGGGGTGGTGCGGGGGGTGGTGCGGGTGGGGGTGCGGGGGGTGCGCCGCCGCCGCCGCCGCGTGGTGGTGATGGTGGTGGTGGTGGTGGTGGTGGTGCGGGGCGTGCGCGGGGTGCGCGGGGTGCGGGTGCAGGGGCCCCCCGGGGAGCGCCGCCGCCGCCGCGCCCTTGGGGCCGCCGGGGCGCAGGTGCGCGGGGTCGGCGCGCGGCACCTTGAAGCGCTTGCGGCGGCGCAGGAAGCTGCCGTTCTCGAACATGTCGCCGCAGTCGGGGTGCAGCGCCCAGAAGCTGCCCTTGCCGGGCTGGTCGGGCCGGCGCGGGATCTTGATGAAGCAGTCGTTGAAGGAGAGGTTGTGGCGCAGGCTGTTCTGCCAGCGCTGCGTGTGCTCGCGGTAGTAGGGGAAGCGCTCCATGATGAACTTGTAGATGTCGCTCAGCGGCAGCATCTTCTCGGCCGAGTGCTGGATGGCCATGGCGGTCAGCGAGATGTACGAGTACGGCGGCTTCTGGTCGCTGTACGAGCTCTTCCCGGGCCGCGGCATCGCCGCGCGCACCCGGGGGCGGGGACCCGGGGGTCGGGGGTGCGGGTGCGGGCGGTCGGGGGGCGCCCCGGCGGCCTCCCGCTGCGCCCCGTCCAGCCCGGCTGCCCGGGCCCTGTCCCTCCCTCCCTCTCTCGCCCACCTTCGGGGCCCGGCCTTCCCGACCCGCTCAGATCTCCCAGGTCCGCCGCTCGGCGTCCGCGCAGTCGCGGGCCGGGCGCGCCGCGCTCACGGGCGCCGTCGCTGCGTCTCTTCCTCTCCCGCCCCCCCGGGGGTGGGTGGCCCGAGACGGAGCCCCGGAGGCAGAGAGAGCGGCTGCGGGCTGCGGGTCCTTTCCGGGCTCTTCGGTGGCCTCCCGTCGGTCCGGCAGGAGGAGGGCGGGCGGAGGGGGGGCGGGAAGGGCGGACGCCGCTCCCGGAGCCCCGGCGCCTCTCCACGTCCCACCTCGCTCCTCGAACGCGGGACGCAGCCGATCCCGCGCGCTGGACTTCTCGTGCTTTCCAGAAGAGGAGACGCAGGGGAAGGGGTGGGCAGGGCGCCCCTCCGGCCAGCCGGGGTCCCCTCTCCTCCCGCCGCCCCCAGGAGGTGCGTGGCGCTCGCGAGGATGGCGAGAGCTGTCACCCGAGCGGGGGAAAAGTTGGAGCTTCCGCAGCCGTGGCACCTGCCGGGTCCGCGGGGCGCAGGGCGGGGGCGCCGGGCGCGAGGCCGCCGGGTCCCCCCAGCCCGGCCCGGCCGGCCGCGGAGGAGGCGAGGCGGCGGGCGCCGGAGCCTGTGGCTGCGCCGCGATCGCCGGGCCGCGTTTTGTTCCGGTCCCCGCGACGCCGAGACCCCCGCAGCTCGCGCTTGGAGACAGTCACGTGACCGGGGCGGAGGGACGCCGCCGCCCGCGCCGCCCGGCCTCCCGCTGGACGGGGGGGGAGGGGGGGTGCGAGGAGGCGGGCGCCGCCCCCGCCCCTCCGCCGCCGCCCCCGGCGCCCCGCGCAGTCGCCAGCCGGGCCCCGGGCGCAGGCGGTCCGGCGGGACGGGGGTCCCGGCTCCCAGGGCCGTCCCACCCCGGTCACCGCAGGCGGCCGAGGGGCCCCGACGCCGCCCCCACCCCTCCTTACCGTTCCCGGGGTCCAGCCCGTGGCGCCTCGCTGCGCTGGCCACCGCGGGGCAAGCCCGCACCCGCGTCTTCCAGGGCTCGCGCTCCTCCGCCGCTTGCCAGGTGGAGGGGACGCGAGCGGGCCCAGGGAGCGGGCGCGAGCGACGGCGAGGGGACGCCCGTCCCTCCAGCTCCCGGACTCGGGACGAGCAGGCGGGAAGGTCGGCGAGGGCCGCGATCCTGGAGTCAGGTAGATCGGGACGGGTCGGGGGGTGCCCGTTCCCAGCACGTGGGGGAGGAAGATCTCCGCTGTGCGCAGGCAGCCGCCCCGTGTGACCCGGGGTCGCCCGCGCGCGTCCGGGCACCGCGGGGTCGCCGCTCCCCTGCGGCGGCGGCTGGCGTCGGCCGCCTGACCCGCACGCAGCCCAGCACCAGCCTGACGCCGTCTGCAGCGTTTGACCCCGGTCCGGAGCCGCGGGGTTCAGACGCACGCACGCCCCCCTGGTCCTGGGGTCTCTCGGTTTCGTTCTCTGTACAAACGAGGCTGGTGCTGGAGGACGTGGCGCGGGTGTCCGCAGTTGCATGTTTCGAGGCGCAGGGCCGTGGGTGGACGCGATCGCCGGGCTCGGCAGTGGCTGGCGGCTATCTCACGCCTGCCTCCCGAGGAGGCCTTGGGCCCAGAGGCTAAACCTCAGATCCCGGAGGCACCAGGTGTGTGTTGGGGGTGGGGTGGGGAGCACCCCGGCGGGAGCACGTGCGATCGGGGGCAGCGAGTGAGGCAGACGCGTGCCCGAACCCTTACCCGGGAGCTGGGCCCCGGGGCGCAGCGTTGGTGCCGGGCCGGCGGCTCCTGAGAACAGGAGTCCGGGGAAGGGGTCTGGAGAGGCCCCTGGAGAGGAAAGAGTCCCCGACGAGGAGAAGGCTGTTTGTGCGCTCGTTCTGCGCCCCTGCTTCTCGCTTCCCGGCTCTCGGTGGGATTTTCCGCCCAAATGAGCCCTTGTGAGGCGCGGCGCTGCGGCGCGGGTGCGGGGACGCGGCCCGAGCCGCGCGGCGGGGCCTTGCGAGGCGGGGCCGGCCTCCTTCTCCGGACCCGGGGAGAGCGAGCCAAGTCCGCATCCCGGACCAAAAGGCCGGAGCCCGCGGGGCCCTGCACGCCCCGTCGCGTCAAAGCCGCCCCGGCCGAGGGCGTCTTTGGTCCAGGCGTCGGGAGGGCATCTCCCCCCCCCCCCCCCGCCCCCGTTCCCAGAACCTCAGCGTCTCCTTCCTGGGAGCACCCGGGCCGCTCCGCCCTGGACGGGGCCCGCGGGGGCGGCCGGGGACGGGGACCGGGCGTGCGTCACACGCGGGCCGGTCACGCAAGCCCTGGGCCCCAAAGGTGGCCCGCCTCCCCCCCCCCCCCATCCCCCGGACGCCACCGGGGGTCGGGAGCCTGGGCGTGCGCTGGGCGTCCTGGGGAGCAAAATGGAGTCACAGAGACAACCCAGCGCTGAGAACCCCCGCGCTCCCGCGCTCGGGGGCAGTCCTCCGCCAGGGCAGAAAACGCGCCCGCGCTCCGGGGAAACCGAAGCGGCCTGGGACGCAATTGGGGCCAGGAGACCGGGAGGCGCGGAGCCCCGCGCGCGCGCGATCGCGATCCCTGGGGAGGCGGAGGCGGGGTGGCCGCCGGGACTCCCTGGGGGAACCCAGCGGGCCCGGGCCGCAGAGGTGGGGCGGGCGGCACCTCCCTCGTTCCCCCCCCCCGCCCTCTCCCCGGCTTGATTGAGTCCGGGGCGCGTTCGCCGCGCGCAGCAGCTGCAGCCAGCGGCGGCCGTGCCTCCCAGGGCCCGCAGCCCCCCTCGTTCCAGAACATCCGATCGCGCCGCCACCCGCGCTACGGGTCGCGTTATTTCATCAAAGAACAAGCATTACGCTCTCCGCGTACCGGCCGGCCGGGGGACGCTGGCCAGCACGGCGGGCCGGGCCCCCGTGCCGATCCCGGGCCTGGACGGACGGGTTGGCCCCCGAGGCGGAGGTCGGCGACGCCCTGCTCGGAAGAGGCTCCACGCGGGCTCGCATCGCGCTCCCTTGGCCCTGCGGAGGGAAGCGGAGAATGACCAGAGGAAGACGTGGGACGTTCGGGGCGGCTGTGTGTCCACCTCCCCGCTCGGTCCTCTAGCCCCGGGGGATCCCGCAGCTCTTTCCGTAGCCGGGCGTCGGCCAGGCCTTCGCAGGTGCCGGGGGCCCCGCGGCGCAGCGCGGCGGGCAGCGTCCGTGTCTCTCCCCGGCTCGCCTCTGATGGGCACGGCCCGTTGCGGTCCTCCTCGAACGCGAGGGGTGCCCCGTCCCGCCGCTGGCCTGCCTCCCTCTGCCCCCCTCCTCTCTCCCCGCCACACTGTCCAAAGTGGGTTTGGAGCAGAGATCAACGAAGCCCTCGCGCTCGCGGCTTCCAGCTCCAGCCCCTGGCGCCAGCCGCCGAGGTGGCCTTGGAGCGGCCATGTCCCCTTTCCTGGCGGCACACAGGCAACAGGTGGAACCAAGGAGCTGGAGTCCCGCGGGCCGGGGGACATGGGGCGGGGGGCGCTCAGCGCGGGGAAGCCGCGGCCAGGGCGCTGAGGCCCGGCCTCCATCCTCACATCCCAGACCTCCGCGCCCTCCAGACGATCCCACGATCGCACCGACCCCGCCGTCTCCAGAAGCGGATTCCTCCCTCCACCTGGCCCACGGATCAACCTTCCCTCCCCGGACCCAGCACGTCCCCGGGCACAGGTGTTAACTCCAGTCCTGCTGGCCCGGGACTGAGAAGACCTTCGAGCCCCAGCTCCCCAGCTGCTCAGCTTCCTGGCTGTGGCAATCCTCCTAAGCCTCTGTTTTCTTTTCTTTAAAATAGCGGGAGCTCTGCGGTGGTGGTGTGATTTTGAGGGGTGAGATTATTGGGGTGACCCCGGGAGGTGAGCGCTGGAATACTCGGACCCTGCAAACACGAGGCGCCTACTGTGCGCTCGGCCAGCCAGCAGGCGCCCTGCCCTGTGACGCGTGGATCTTGGACAATCAGTCAGGTGCCGCTCAGATTTTACACAGTGGCCCGTGGTCGTGTTTTTCCAAATCGAATTGTTCCCAGGTAGAGTGAAGATCGAGCTTGAGGAGGATGTGGGTTTGGGGAGAGGTGTCCTTCGCTCCCCAAGGTCCTAGCACCTTCCACCAGACTGGCTCAGGGGCCTGGGCTGCGGTGGGGGTGGGGTTGGGGACGTGGGGGTTTTGGGTAGGGTGGGGGGTGAGGGCGGTCTGGGAGCTAACCCTGGGCTGCAGTTTACAGGCCTGTTGGCTCTGAGCTTCACCCTGCATTCACCACGAACTTTCGTTGGACGGAATCTCTTTCCAGCTAGGAACTCACGCAAAAGCAAACATCCCGGATGCTGCCTCGAATCTCCAGAAACTTTGTTTTTGTTTTTTTTTTTTAAGAACTCCATCACTCTCCCATCCTGGACATCTTCCTTTCCCTGTGGTCACCAGTCAGCGCCAGCAGGAAGGTGGGCAGACCCCTCACCTGGTACCTGGCCTGACTCTTGATTTCCTCCTCCCCTCCCCTCCTCCCCCTGCTGATCTCTAGGGACTTGTTGCGAGCCCTGTCTGTTTGGGTAACCGCCACCAAATAAATAACCAACAATTAAAAAAAAACTTTCTTGTGCTTCCTCCGACGAGTAATAACAAAGACTCGACATATCAGCAACCAGGTGTCGCGGCGAAACTCCTGACAGTAACTGTCTTGCTTTTCAGCCAGCCAGTTCTGGAATACATTACATTAATTAAGTCTTTGGTGATTTGGCCTCCTTGGAGAGAAGTCCAACAATGTAATTAAGAGCATACTGGCTATATTAGATATGAATATTCAAAACAGTGTCAATTAATTAGCCAACAGATCTAGCTCACTATGCCCCCGAAG